GATGTCAGTCACAGCCTACATCCCAAATGCAGCTCTTGGGGTGTTGAAAGCTGCCTGAGTATTCAAGAGGCAAGTGGCCATCACATCTGCAAAGGGGGAACAACAGACCCTGCCAGTGCAGTGTGTGTTGTCCGTAAACCTTGGCATGGCTCTATAAGGCTCTGCCTGATTGGGCAGATTAGATATCTCCCATCGTTCCCTGGAAGGACACGTGTGTGACAGTGACATAGGCTTTTTACAGGAACATCCCTGTGCTGTGTTGTCCTGGGGTTCTAGGTCATCAGAGAGGTATCTAGAGAGCCTTGCCACAGAGGGGTCCCTTGTCCCCACCACCCACTTCGGAGGATGGGGTGGTGAATGGCAGACTGTCCTTGGGTAATGGGTGCGGGGGGCGGTGAGCTCTGCTGCCTTCCTTCACTCTGCCTCCTCCTCTGCCCACAGCTGTCTCCCTCTGCTTCAAGGCCTCGTGCTGACCTCCACCTTCTCTTCTCCGTTCCATTTCTCCCCAGTGTTGTTCCCCTTGTTCCTTTAAACTTAATTCTGTCCAGTATCTCATGACCCAGCCGTGTAAACAGATCTCCTGGGTAGTCTTGCTCAGATGTGCACATGGGACAGCAGGTGGCCCAGGGAGACATGAGAGCAATAGCTTGATACTTCCATCCACACCAGGTCAGAGGACCAGGGCTTCAGACTCTGAGGTACGGTGTGTTCCTGTGTGGCAAAGTTCTTTGCTCTTTGTGTTGGCAGAATCCTTGGTTCAGTCCAGACACCCACTTGGTGCCCGATTCTGTGCCTCCACCCTCGGTGCGCACCCGCTTGCTTTTCTCACATCAAGTTGGAAAGGACTCAGAAGTCCTCTGAGGTTCCTGGTAGGTAGTGCAGAAGTAAGACCCTGAGAGGTACAGCGGTGAGAGACATGTGATGTGTCAGTGTGGAGTGTGGCCTCACCACATGGCCGGACCTCTCTCCAGTGGCTGTTGTGTGGAGGCACCCACCCTGACCACAGAGCCCAGGCCTGAACAGGGGCTACATGCTGACACTCTGCTCCGCAAAGTGCTTTCTACACCCTCCCCGGATTCACCTTGGAGCAGCCCTCATGGCTGGGGCCATAACTCGTTACTGTTTTTCTCTTTTTTTTTTTTTGCCTCTTCACAGATGTGAAATCAAGGCTTGAAATAGGATGTTTGCCCAAAGTCAGCCGGAATACACAGCTGACTGACGTCCCCTGTGAGTCTGTGGGACCTGAAGGTTGTGCCTTCTTTTGCTTTGCATATTACACAGGAACACATATGAAAGTGAGCCAGGCTGCTGACACCACGTTAAAAAGAAATCTGAGTGTGTGGCTCAGTTGAAGTGCTTATCTAGTGTGTATGAAGCCTTCAGTTTGATCCCCAGCACTGTGTAAACTAGGAGTGGTGGGGCACGCCTGTAGTTCCAGCACCCAGGCTTAGAATCAGGAGGATAAGTTCAAGGTCATCTTAGGCTGCATAGTGATTCCAGGCCAGCATGAGACCCTGTCTCTAAAGAAAGGTGAAGTTAAATATCCACCTCCTTTCACCTATTACTTTTTAAAAAGTATTGTAGGGGCCGGAGAGACGGTTCCGCAGTTAAGAGCACTGACTGCTCTTGTAGAGGACTTGGGTTCAGTTCCCAGCACCCACAGGGCACTAACTACTCTCCGTAACTCCAGTTCCAGGGATCCGATGCCTTCTTCTAGGGTCTATGGGCATTGCACACATGGGTGCACTTACATACATGCAGGTGAAACACTCATACACATTAAAAATTTACGTTCTGTTGTAAGGGTATCCCACATTTTGCTTATTCATCAATCTGTCCATAGATAATTGGGTTTCTTGTACCTTCTGTTGGTTTTTGAGGGATACTGTAACAAAATACCACATACTGGGGGAATTAAGCAACAGAAATATGCTTCTCATCATGTGGAAGCCCAAGGTCAAAGGCAGCCATGGTGGCTTCTCCTCACGCCTTGCTGCTTGTCCTGCATTCAAACGGGAGACCCTCATATGACTTCCAAGTGTGAACACCCTGTAATCCTTGGCTTTTCGTATGAGCACCTTAGTCATATAGGTTGGGCTCTGACACTTATGAGATCATTTAACTTTATTGACCTCTTTAAAGGCCCTGTCTCTAAATGCAGTCCCATTTAGGTTAAAGCTTCAACAGAGGAATTTTGGAGAGACAAAATTCAGTTTGTAATACCTCTTTTTTTTTAAACTTTTATAAAAACTTTATTGAGAATTTCACACATGCATATATGGTGTTTTGATCAAATCCATGCCCACTCCCTCCCCTCCAACATTCCCCCCTATGAAGAGGTAACCCTGAAATCTTGTAAGGATTAGATACTAGCTCCCAAATACTTTTGACAGTTTGACATTTTTGGCCTTTGGAACAGAGTATGTTGCTATTAGGCCCAAGGACATTTTGACTTTTAGCCCAGGAACTGGATACATTTCTTTGGGGTCTTTTTACCCTAACTGCCTAGCCATTTCCTGCCTCCTATTCTTATCACACCATCTTCTGAAGAGGTTACCCAAATTGCCATTAGGGAATAGGGACGCTGACCGCTCTGGCTTCTTCCATACTGAACAGGGACGCAGGGTGAGGCAATTAGAGTACTCCTTCAGTGGGTCTATCTAAAAGACTCCCAAATTGCATTACTCTTTTCTCTAGGGGGAAAAGAAAGTCCTTGAATCGTTAATAGATGTGAAGGAGAAGTAAAGGCAAGAGTAATTAGCATTACAAGTTCTAGACAGGGAACTAGACAAAAGTCAGAACAGGGCAATTTTCAAATGTTCCTATGAGTCCATTGGAGTTTCTTGATGAGCGCTTCCAAAAGCATCCCTCTGTTGGGTCCCCCTCATTCTTCTTTTGTCTGCCAAGGCTGGACTGTAATACCTCTTAGCTCTTGAGAAGCTGCAGACGTGGGTGTGCATGGAGCTGTCCAAGCTTCTGCTTTCGATTCTTTTGGGTACATACCCAGCATGGAATTGCTGGATTATATGGTAATTGTATCGTAAGGATTTTCAGGGCTCTTCATGTAGTTTCCCACAGTATTTTCCCACAGTGGTCGCACCATGTCCATCCCCATCGCACCATTTAACTCTTCAGTGCAGTTTTGCCCTTTTGGAGAGGTCGCTCTGACTTCCTGGTTGGAAGCGTGCCCAAGTCACTCTTGGTGCTTGCCAACTATTTGGTTACTAATGATGAGATTCTTCTAGAAACTTGATGTCCCTAATTCTTCTGCTCCTCCCCTTGCCTGCCTCTTGCTTCTGCATTCGGCTGCTGGGGAAGTGTCTCAGAAGGAGGAAGGGCCCTGGGAGTCAGCTGCTCTCAGGCTGCTGCTTTGCTGAGCTGTCTGACAGGCATCACCTCTGAGTGCTGGCAAAGTTTGCATCAGCTCTTTTGCATATCTGGTCCTGGCAAAGGAGGGACCCTGAGCCTGCTGAGGTGCCCACTGCCTTCAGAATGGCTGAGGACAGGTTTCAGACATACCTTGGGGGAGAAGCTTGTAAAATACTGGTGTAGATTCAGCCCGGTGGATAAGGACATGGGGAGAGGTGGGAGGAAAGGCTTGGTGTGTGAGGAGGTACTGAGGTAGGTGTGCCTGTGAGGTGAGGCAGGGATGTGAAGGAATGGGGTTGGTGTGAGGGTACTGGGCATACAGGAGGGAGAGGATTATGTGGGGCAGTCAGGAATGGAGGTGCCCATGTAGAATGGGTGGAAGAGTCTGGGAGTTGGTATGACTGGTAGGCAGAGTGTGGGTATGTGTAGAATAGACCCTTTTCCTGCCAGACACTGGTGGAAGGTGTCTGAGAGCTGCGGACCTGCAAGTGGAGGCTGGGGTTGGGGCGAAAGGGCGTATTTAGTGGGGGATGGGGCATTTGGAGTTAAGGTATGTGTGTGTATATGTGGGTGGAGTTGAGGGCAAGGGTGTGTGTGTGTGTGTGTGTGTGTGGATTAGAGTACCCGGGGGTGAGTAGGAGTGAGCATGTGTTGGAGGTTTGGGTAGGAAAAGGACCAATTACTCTACTCCCTGGGACCACATTGCCATAGCTGGAGGGAGATGAGGGAGGTGGGCGGAATAGCTCCAAGACCTGCTGAGCCACCCCACTCTGGGATGCGGTGCAGCTTGGACTCATGCATGACTCACTCACCTGTCAAGGGAATCAATTTGCTGGGCATCTGCATCATGAGTGCGTCAGTCTCATGACTTGTTCTTACTGAGAACCTGGAAGAAATTTAAAATGCGAAATGAAGGAGTGGGCAGGAGGCTGCCTCCGGGGCTTTAAAGGATCCGGTGTTTCTCCCTCCAGTAGCCGAGTTAGGCTAAGGGACCAGGGCTGGCTCCCTGGACCCCGTTCTTGTTACAAGGCAGCTGCAGCAGCCCCTGCCAGACAAGTAACTTAAGGAGGCTGGTTGCGCAGCTGGCTGAGGAGTTCAGACGCCCCTCCCAGATGCCAGGAGACCTCTGCAGCAGGCACTCTTTGTGTGCTGTGGTTTGCGGCAGCTTGTGCTTTGGAGAGATGATGGCTTTTATGAATGGTAGTCTGGGAGTGGCCTAATGTCACCGACTCCTGATGTCACCACAATGAATGAAACACTTGCAGTGCGTAAAGCCTTGGTAGTTGGGAAGCAGACACTTTCTGAGACTGGCTCTCCAGACGCAGCGATTCTTGCTGACGGAATCGGCAGTCCCATGTGTCACAGATAATCCACATACACTGGGGTTTCAGTGAGGCTGCATGTGGAGCAGTGCGCAGTCTGACTCAGGCACCAGCAGCTTCTTTGCCTGAAGCAGCTACAGCTGGCCTTGACCCTTTGCCTGCCAGACACTGGTGGGAGGTATCTGAGACCTGCTGCTGTGTGCCAGGCATCCCCTAGCCGGCCTCATGTTCTGCTTTTGCTGGCAGAACTCCTTCCTGAAGCGCCAAGCCCTCGGATCTGATCTGTGCTCTGCATTTTTGACAAACCAGGAAGAAGCTGTTCAGGTGCATGGAGTTAAGGACCCATCCCCACCCTCGACCCAGAGTGTGCCTGCCGATGGGGCGGATTCTGCAGGTAAGAGGCAGGGCCTGGGGATGCCCCAAATGGTACTCTGGAGACAGCTGAGCCTCCACTGGACCACCGAGGTAAATGGTGTGACATCAAGGCTCGAGGGCTGCCCAGGGAATAAGAGGGAGCGTAGGAGGAAACTGGGTTAGCTATGAGGGGTCAAGCTGAAAGCCCTGTCAGTCCCCTAGTCTTGATTTTCCTACCTGCTCTGTGACAAGGGGTGGTGTGCAAGTTTATATTGCTGGACTCTGTTGTCTTGAAACTTGTTTTCAAGCATCTAAAGGCCAGGGGAGTTTGAGCCCTGCTGCATCTCTCTCTGGTTAACTGCTTGTAAGATGATGCATCAGTAGGGAGAGCAGAGGTGAGTGTCTCTGATCCTGTATCCTTGTTCTGACTTTTTTTTGCATTAATTTTCATAACAAAAAGTCTCAAAATGAATCTCAGTTTTCTGGGAGTTTCTCTAGATTTAATCCAGGGGATGGCTGATGGGCTAGCAAACAGAAGGTGTATTAATAGGCCCAGGGAGAGGAAGGAAACAGCAATTTGCATGAGCAGAGATGAGAGCAGGCCTTAGCCTCCTTATACAAATGGTTCGGAGCTGGCAGACAGCTCCCCAGTGGGTGGAAGGAGAAGGCTTAGGTGAGCTTGCTCCATGAGTGGCTGGAGCTGAAGGAGGAGCTCTACAAAGACCATCCAGTTCAATAGCACACTCCTGTTTCAAGGCATCCCATGCAGTCAACGCAGGCCGAGCAGTCATCTGCAGTACTGGAATGTGTGTTAGTGGCACTGGTTGATGGGAAATGCCAAGAGTAGTTGTCTCTGTTATTTAAAATTTCTGCGATGTAGGCACGGTTTGCGCATTTCCGATATTAATCCCCTAAAGTGGCCTGTGAACACTCTTTGCTGTGAAGACCCTGAGGCCTAGAGACATTTCTGGTAAGTGGTAAACTGCTTCCCTTGGGTACATGGCTTTGGTAGTTGGTATCATTTTGCATGGGAAGCGCCCCTGCTCTGTTGGCTGCTGGGTTTATGTGGAAAGGAAGCAGAATGGGGCATGGGCCCAACTGGCAGTTTAAATCGGATTGCTAGACCACACCTCTTTTCTTCCCAACCCTGTATTTTGCCCCTTCCATATAGCCAAATGCAAATGAACCTTTGAATTAGCTGATGTTTTGGACTAGCTACCCAACTGTCTAGCAAACAGTGTTTAATATTTGTTGCATATTGGATATATATATATTTAATA